AAAAAACTGCATCCCAGTATATGCCCTGACCAGGAATACAACCAGCAACCTTTCAGTGCACAGGACAATGCCCAACCAAATGAGCCACACCAGCCAGGGCCATAAGATGCTTTTTAAAAGGCCTGTGTACAAGAAAGATTCTAGAGGCTAATAGAAAAATGTGGAGCAGCTGCCTCAGCCCTGATAACTACCATGTATCTGTGTCCTTGGAAGTGAGGACAGTGGGGCTCAAGGGCCAGCACAGCTGAAGCCACCTCACCTGGCCCACTTGTCCACAATACTTCATCTTTTAAATTCCTTAAAACTCCCTCCTTTCCAAGGACCTTGTCCCAGCTGAAGACCCACGTTGTGCCTGCAGTGACAGAGCCAGTATGCAATAGGAAGCAAACCTTAGAACCTGGACTGGATAGAGCAGGAACCACCTGGATAGAATTCAAGAAAAAAGATTGGTGCTCCAGGCTAGGCTAGTGATATAATTCTGCACACTGGGCAAGTGTGTGTTTCTCTGGGCTTCCTTTTACTTGTCTATAAAATGGGAGGCTCCTACTATTATTCCTGCTGTTCTTTTTTTTAAAAATCTTGTTTAATTTCTTTCTTTCTTTTTTTTTTGTACAGAATGAGTAGGAGGGAGAGAGAGAGAGAAAAACATCAACGTGAAAGGGACACATCGAGTGGCTGCCACCCGCACGACCAACCAGGGCCGGGGACAAACTGCAACCGAAGTACGTGCCCTTAGCGGGAACCGAACCCGGGTCTCTCCGGACCGCAGGCCAACGCTCTAACTGCTGAGCCAAACCAGCCAGGGCTATTCCTGCTGTTCTTGTTACAAATCTGAGATAGTGATGCTTCTTGTGCCTTAAAATAGGGGTGGGGGAGGTGTCAGTTGCTTATTTTGTTTACTGTCATTTAGGCTGCAAGCCCACAGGACAAGAACCTTTTGTACTATGTACCACAGCTGCTGCTGATAAATGTTATCGTTAATGAGAATATTGGGAACATATTGCAGCCACTGTTCCTGTGTTTTCCAGACATTGCTCACCAACCAGGCACTACTTGGCTCCCAGGTGGTCAGGGATGCAAAGCCAAAGACTCAGTTCATTAACGATAAAAACCACTTAACTGCTGGGTCCGGACAACTACATGGAAGACCAACCCATTCATTCATTCAGCGAATGTGCACTGAGCACCTACTATGTGCCAGGTGCTGTGAATACTATGAACAAGTCCAATATGGATCCTCTCCTTACAGAACTTATGGTCCAGTGGGCCATGACCAATTGCCCTGGTAGAGGCTAAAACAATTGTTAGAAATAGTTCCCTTTCCTGAAAGAAAAAAAAATCCAGCTATGGCCACGCTAGACACTACAGGACCCTTGGCATTTTCCTTCTTTCCCAGACGCTTTGATGGCAGAACCCAGACATCAGAAGTCAGCATTGGGGGCTTAAGGGAGACATCAACTTTCATTGTGGGTGCCTGGTCAGTGTCACTCATGTGACAGATTGGCAGACCTGAGGTCAGAGGTAAGGCTGAGACCAGACTGGCAGGCATCTCCAAAGAGGAGTGGGGAAAGAAGGCCTGGATAAACCAGAATTTGCGGGGGTACCAGAGGTGGAGGGACTACATGGGATCTCATAGATGGGATCACCTGGAAAGGTAGTTCCTGTGTCTAAGACTCGAGGAAAGGAAGTGTGCTTACACAGAGGCAAGGGGCCCGTTGGAGGGAGCAGTGTGGTTGCAATGAGAAATGAAGCATTTAAGCTCTCAAGAGTTCAGATGAACAATGGCCTCCCCTTCTTTTCTGCTGAGAAGTCATTGTCCCAGGAACCACCATGGCAGAGTGGCTGAAGTGGACGCTGTAAGCAGCACTCTCTGGTGGCAATCTTGTCTTTAGGGGACCTGGTTTAGTTCCAGAGTTACTGCTCCAAGTGTTGGAGGGTCTGAAACCAGGTTCCCTTCCTCCTAAACCAGGGCCTGTGGATATGGAAAGGGCTTAGATTTTGGGCTGAGAGAGCCCTCCCTACCTAGTACAAAAGCCAGTTCACTCTCATGGTGTCTCTCAGAGCCTCAGTTTCCAGATTTGTAAAACAGGAATTCAAGTCCCCACAAGAACACGAAGAACAACTAAGCACTTACTTAGCATAAAGGCTGACACACAATTAAGTGTGCAAGAAATAGCATTGGATATATATGGTAGTGAAAATTGGTCTGTTTTGACTACTGATATCATGATCAGTTAAGAAGTGGGTCCCATGTCATGTTACTAAATCATGTAACTACCAAAGTTTGTAAATTATTTATAGCAGAGTCATATCAGATATGCATATAACTTACTGTATAATCTAGGGTCAGCCATGTAGCCTCTCTGAGAAAAAAATTTTTTTTTTATCCTCACCCGAGGACATTTTTCCATTTTTTGTTCAGGTAGAGTGGGAGGGAGAGAGAGGAACAGAGAGAGAGAGAGAAACATCGATGTGAAAGGAACACATCGAGTGACTGCCACCCGCACAACCGACCAGGGCCGGGGACAAACTGCAACCGAGGTACGCACCCTTAGCGGGAACCGAACCCGAGTCTCTCAGGACCGCAGGCCAACGCTCTAACTGCTGAGCCAAACCGGCCAGGGCCCATGTAGCCTCTCTGAACCTGTCCTCATTACTAGCATAGGAATGATATCACCTCTTGGCCAGAAGCTGAGAATACAAAAATGAACAGGCCACAAATGTGGAATATTCAATCAAGAATGGACATTTCAGGCCTGGCCAGTGTGGCTCAGTGGATTGAGCATTGTCCCATGGATTGAGAGGTCCCAGTTCGATTCCAGGTCAGGGCACACGCCTGGGTTTCAGGCATGATACCAAGTAGGGGGCATGCAGGAAGCAGCCAATCGATACTTCTCTCTCAAAAATCAATAAAAACATATTTAAAAAAAAATTTTTTTTAAAGAGGGGCCATTTCATTTGTCTCTGCACTTCAAGGATTAAAACCAAAGGTCTTGCCCTGGCCAGTTTGGCTCAGTGGTTTTTTTTTTATCCTCACCCGAGGACATTTTTCCTTTTTTTGTTCAGGTAGAGTGGGAGGGAGAGAGAGAAACATCGATGTGAAAGGAACACATCGAGTGGCTGCCACCCGCACAACCGACCAGGGCCGGGGACAAACTGCAACCAAGGTACGCACCCTTAGCGGGAACCGAACCCGGGTCTCTCAGGACCGCAGGCCGATGCTCTAACCGCTGAGCCAAACCGGCCAGGGCTGGCTCAGTGGTTTGACCGTCGGCCTGCGGACCAATGAGTCTTGGGTTCGATTCAGTCAAGGGCATATACCTTGGTTGCAGTTTGTACCCGGCCCTGGTCAGGTCATGTGGGAGGAAAACAATTGATGTTGCTCTATCACATCGATCTTTCTCTCTCCCTCCCTCCCACTCTGTCTGATGATAAATGGAAAAATATCTTCAGGTGAGGAATAAAAAAACAAACAAAAAAATATCAAAGGCTTGCCCGGCTGGTGTGGCTTAGTGGTTGAATGTCAACCATGCACCAAGAGGTCACCAGTTCGAGTCCCAGTCGGGTCCCATGCCCAGGTTGTGGGCTCAATCCTTAGTGGGAGGCATGCAGGAGGCGGCCAATGTTCTCTCTCTCTCTCTCCCTAAAAATCAATAAAGAAAAAAAAAAATTAAAAACAAACAAAAAACCCACATAGGTCTTATCTTGATATTTAAGGCCTCTCCTTCCTGTCCCCCAGGCCACCTTTCTAGTCCTCTATCTCTTAACTCCCCCCTATACTACAGCCAAACGACTCTTTCCTATCCCCTACCCCCTCACTCACTCTTGCTTAGTCTGAATACCTTTGCCTGCCTGGAATACGCTTGCTTTTGATTCCTTCTGTTAAAAGTCTTCATTTCTTTCAAAACTAATTTCAAGTACCACCTCTTCCCTGGTGCCTTTCTCCTACTGCTGCCAGGCACTGAATTCAAAAGCTGGGCAGATAAAGAAATGTACCAGGAGATGGCAAAGCTATTTGTGTGCCTGCCTTCTCCCTCTGGCTTGAGATCCCAGCAGGCTGGGGTCAGGTCTCAACCATCTCCTCAGGCCTTCCATCCAGAGGATGATCCTTAGAGTAGTTTCCAGTGACCATTCCCTGGTGGGTTCTTATTTTGCTTTGATTTCCTAGACTAGAACAGGGGTCATTTAGGCAAATAAGAGAGCCCAACTTTCCACCCTCTTTTCTGTGATTTCATTCATGATAAAGCTCTCATAAACTGTTTTTAGAAAAGACACTTAACCTCTCTGAATCTCCATTCTCATCTGTAAAATTAGGATATTAGTACTGAGCTTGATGGGAGAATAAAGAAAATCAACTATAAAGCCCCTAGTGCCCAGTAGGTGCTCAATAAATAATAGTTCCTCATCCGGCCAGTATGGCTCAGTGGTTGAGCATCGACCCATGCACCAAGAGGTTGCCGGTTCGATTCCTGGTCAGGACACATGCCCAGGATGTGGGCCCAGTCCCTAGTGGGGGTGTGCAGGGGGCAGCCAATCAATGTTCTCTCTCTTCGATGTTTCCTTCTCTCTCTCTCCGTCTCCCTTCCTCTCTCTCTAAAATCAATAAAGGGAAAAAAAATAAATTAAAAGAAATAACAATAATAGTCTCCCAAGGAGCACTGGATCAGTCCAAAGTGGAAATTGGGAGAAAAAGAAATATAAACAAAAACTAAGGTAGAAGAAATAAATGCAAAGAGGAATGACAATATGTATAAAGGGTTAAATTCACCTATTAAATGAGTCTTAGATTGGATTAAAAAACAGGCTATTTACAAAGAGACATGCCCGAAGAGACAGTTCTCTTCACTTTACCCATCCTTCAAAGCCCAAGGCTTTGCCTGCTGCCTTTATGACCCCACATTATGGACAACTATCTTTTTATTCTCAATTTTTTTTTTCCATCACCATTTATCCCTCCTACACTCTCTTCCACCTCCACCCACCCCCCTTCTCCAACCCCTTGCTCAAGACATACATCGTTGAAAGTGGATTATCTACATAATAAAGACTCAAAGTTCTTTTAGGCACCAAAATTTATTTACCTACCTTCCTGCTCTAACATTTTAAGTACTATATAAACATTATAAACCAAATTAATCTCTTTTTGATCCAGGGTTGTGAAAGGAACCATTACAAAGTAGAGGCAGACCTATGCCTGCTTTTAAGATTCTCTGGCCCCTCTCAACTTCTGGTTGTCAATTCTCTTGTCTGTTTTCGGCTGACCCATTAACAGTATATTTTATAACCCCTGTAAAATAGGGACTGAAAATACCAACCTCATTGTTCTGAGGTTTAAGAGAATGCTCAGCACTAAGCCAGACTCTCAGGAGCATTCAAACACCAACAATTCCTCCCTGCCCTCTGATATAGCTCCTCATCTGTTATGGGCTGAGGAACCAGTGAACCTATAAACCAAGAATGTGGGTACAACACCCATAGGCCAGGTTAGAGTTTAGGTAGAGTTGTGACCACTGCTTCCACTTTCCAGCCTAAGGAAGGACGGAGTGAGTAAGCAGTTCCAAAACCCCTGAACTCATGGTTCCCAGTAGGTATCTCCCATGTACCTCCACTGTGACCAGGGCTTGAGGAGGGGCTTCTCAATTCCCCCAGCCACACATGAGACAGTACTCAGGATGTAGTGGAGACCAAAGACTGAGTGACCAGCGCCAGGGAGTTGATGGGGGACATTAACAAACCATTCTCAAAGTTGGTGCCATTTGCTCTTGGGGAGAAGAGGTGGGACAGCAGATAGAAGGCAGAAAGGGCAGGCCTGGTTCTCAGTAACGGTAGTGATCGGGCTTGAAGGGGCCATCATGGGGCACGCCCAGGTACTGGGCCTGCTTCTCAGTCAGCTTGGTCAGCTTCACATTCAGTTTGCGCAGGTGGGCTTCAGCTACTGCTTCGTCCAGCTGGGAATAAACACAGGAAGATGGAGGCTCAGTACCGCGCACTCTGGAACCACTTACCTGCATCCAGCTGCCAAGAGGCAAGAACTGTTCTGTTGGGGTAACTGCAATGCATTGCACACATTACCTCAGCCCATCATGTTAGCCTCAGTGGATGTGTTGTTTTTGACTGCCCAGCTTCCCTTCCTCAAGACGGAACCATACTTCATCCTCTCCTCTAAGTAACCCTAGTGGGACCGTTAATTACATTTCCTTCCTCACCTTCCACCAACCCAAGTTGTTAACCAAATTCTTTTCTGGAATTTATCTATGGACAGGGCATTTTCTACAACAAGAAGAAATAGGGTCTTTCCGATTCCACTGGGATTCCTAAACAGGGAGGGTATCAGTCTCAGCTTGCTAGTGGTAATTCTATGTGACAAGTGAAGTGAATGTAAAGAAAAAAGATAGCTGCCCTGGCTGGTTTGGCTCAGCGGTTAGAGTGTCAACCCGCAGACCAATGAGTCACAGGTTCAATTCTGGTCAAGGGCACATACCTCACTTGTGGTTTGTCCCCGGCCCTGGTTGGGGTCGTGCAGGAGGCAATCAGTCGATGTCACATCGATGTTTCTCTCTCCCTCCCTCTCTCTCTTTCCCACTCTATCTGAAGATAAATGGAAAAATATCCCCAGGTGAGGATTTAAAAAAAAAGACAGCCAAGACAGAGAAACACAGAATTCTAATAACAATGAATCCCTGGTTCCACTGCCTGAATCATGGACTCCTCCATTATATGGGGTAGGTTTACAGTTGTGGGTACACAAAACAGAGTTTATTCTTATATTATCATTTATTAATCGCTGTATTATTTTTCATACAAACAACTGTAAACCTACTTTTGCCCCACCCTATGTAACCAATAGAGTTCCTTTTCAGATTAAATTGTTTGTGTTTGTTTAAAAGTATGTCCTTAAGCCCGCTGGTGTGGCTCAGTGTATTGAGCGTCGTCCCATGGACTGAGAAGTCCCAGTTCATTCCCAGTCAGGGCACATGCCCCAGTTATAGGCTCAATCCCCAGTAGGGGGTGTGCAGGAGGCAGCCAACTGATATAGCTCTCACATCCATGTTTCTCTCTCTACAAAAAAAAATAATAATAATCAATAAAAACATTTAAAAAAATGTTTTAAAAATATGTCTTTAAATCCCTTGTCTAGAAATTCATAATACTCCTTTCTTCAAGAGGTGGAGCCTACTTCCTCACCCCTTGAGTGACTCACTTCTAATGAACAGAAAAAAGCAGAAGTGATGGTGTGACTTGGAGACTAGTGCTCTCCTAGACCACTCACTCTGGGGAAAGGCCAGCTGGCATCTCATGAGGGCACTTAAGCAGCCCTATGGAGATACCAATGTGACAAGGAACTGAGACCTCCTGCCAACAGTGATGTGAAGTGGATCTTCCAGTCCCAGTCTAACCTTCAGATAGGACTGCAACTCCATGAAGGACCTCAAGTCAGAACCACCACACTAAGGTGCTCTCAATTTCCTGACCCACAGAAACTGAAATAGTAAATGTTTATGTTTTAAGCCATTAAGTTTTGGGGTTAAATTGTTATATAGCAATAGATAATTAACACACCAGTTTAAACAGGGTTTCCATCTTCCACTGGCCGCCAAAAAGACCCTAACTAATAAAAAAATTGCCATCCTTTCACAAATGTAGAAATCAAGTCTCAGAATGGTGAAATGACGTGCCCAAGTTCACACAGCTAGTTATTGATAGAGATAAGATATGAATCCAGGTCCATCTGGCTCCAAAACCCCAAAGCTTGTCTTAAGCATCTCAAAGTATAGCCTCCAAGGCAGCTTTGAAGAGATGGAACAGAAACCAAGGAAGACAGAGGCTGGGGTTAGATAAGACCAATTTCTAAGTCTGACCAGTGCTGAAATATATAAAAAGGGTCTGAAAAGAAGGGGAAGTGGTTATACTTAGAGGCGTGTCAACTCTAAGTGTGGGGTTTCACTTTCTCAGCATCTGGCTCTGGGAAGGGCCTCTCTCTATAATGCCCAAGTCCCATCCCATGATGACACAATAGCCTTGGGCCACAGCTCATCCCCAAGAACTTTTACATTTCCAAGTGGGTTCACATCCATTGTCTCATTAGAGCTTCGCAAATACCCCTAAGGAGCGCTGGATTTATTCTTCTATTAACAGATGAAGAAACTGGGGAGAAGCAGGCAAAGGCATGAGCAGAGCCCAGCCCCAAGTCCATGTTAGTTCTGAAAGTAGAAAGAAGGTCTCCAACTCCCAGAGTATACACTGAATCCTCCCTTCACTTGGCCTGACCTAGCCCTGAACACACTTCCTTCTCCCTGTACCCACACCCAGAAGGCAGTGTCATAATGGTTAACAACTTGGACAGATAGTAGAGTTGGGTTCTACTCCTGCCCCAATACTTGACAGCTATGGGAACAATTCAATCTCCAAACCTTAGTTCCCTCACTTGTAGGATGGATCTCTCATGGCTATTATAAAGATCAGTGCTAGTGTTCTTGGTACAAACAGATACCTTAATGGTGGCTGCTCTCTCTGTCATCACCCATATATCACATGTGAGGCATGAAGCTATGGGTGTCTTGTCCCCAGTCCATGTCTTGGCAGTGATGGAGGAGATAAGGATGGGGCCGTGTGCTGGGGTGGGAGATGAAATCTTTGCCTTTTTACTTCCTACCCTGACTTCATTACAAAGGCATGCCCAATTTCTCAGCATATTCACAGCCATATTTCCTCCAATTGGGATCAAATGAAGGTCAAGTGAGGCTTTTATTTAACCCCACAACAAGGCTGGAGACCTGGCAGACTACACAGAACAGAATAGCCCTTGAGGCCCTTATGAGTAAAACATCTAGTCCAAGGGAAGAACTCAAGGATGACTAGGGGGAAAAGGGTTGGCTGGCTCTGGGGGCAGATACCTGAAGTGGACACCTGGGCCTCTTCCTACTTCACTTGGCAGAACCAGCCTTTCAAGGGGTGGAGGAATGAGACTCCATCAAAGCCTCTCCAGTGACCAAATGCTAGATGAGCAAGAGCTACTCTTACCATTTGACTGACAGGGAAACTGAGGCCCAGAGAGGCTAAGTGGCAAAGCCAACTTTACTCATGACACTGGCAAAAAAAAGCCAGGACTAAAACATAGCAATTCTAATCTCTGGGGGTATGTACATGGGGTGTTAGGATGAGCACTGGGTTTCATGTCAGAAGACCTCATTGTCATGGTTACCCTGACCACATACCCATAGCACATCAGGTGCTATGCAGTGTGTTAGGGGTATTATCTCATTTCAAGGCCACAATCCTGCACAGGCTGTAGGCTGCATTTGGCTTATAGACATGTCCAAAGTAATATACCTGGTTATATTTTAAAACTATAATAAGTTGCCTATATTTAAAAATTGAGTATTTCATATAAAAATCTTAATATCTGGCTTCTCTTGAAATGTCAGGAGCCCTGGTCCAATGGGCCTGGGTTCCAGTTTAATGACAGTAAGCCAACCCCTTTACTGAGGCACGTGCTCTTCTATTAGTCCCCACCCAGCCCAGTTCACTCATTTACCTGCTCAATCCCTGTGGGCCTGTGGGTTTGTGACCCTTGATCTAAGGAAATCCTCACAATCCCCACAGGAGGTAGTATTACCTTTATTTTACAGAGGAGGATATAGAGGCACAAAGAAGTTAAGTAACTTGCCCCAGTTAGGTGGTAAGTCGCTAAGTGGTAAGGCTTAGATTCAAACCTGGATGGGTCTCACTACAAAGCCCATGCTCTTTTCATAACCCAGCCCTGCCTCTCTGGGAGTCATTCCCTACTTTGGGCCTGAGTTTCCTCCTCTGCTAAATGAAGAAAATTATTTATGTCCTGTGGAATACCCTGTAAAGACCTCTCAGAGGGTAGATAGGTAAACTCTAGCAAGCCCTGTGTGGGGAGCCCAAGGTTGAACATATGACCCTTGGCCGGGGTTAGAGGTGGGTACTGACCTTCTTGGGCAAAAAGTGGACCCCAACAGGGTACTTGTCAGGATGGGTCCACAGTTCAATCTGCGCCAACACCTGGTTGGTGAAGGAGTTGCTCATCACAAAGCTGGGGTGACCCATTGCACAGCCCAGGTTGACCAGACGGCCCTCAGCCAGCACGATGATGTGGTGCCCATTCTTCAGCCGGTAACGGTCCACCTGCAAGTGGGCAGAGCAGCAATGAGGGCTGGAGGGGCAATGCTCCCAATGTCCACCTTGTCTTATCCTACCTTCTTCTCCAACAGGCCTCCCTGCCTCCAACAGCACCTGTGAAGGGCCCAGACTGCCCTAGAACAACCTCCAGCACAGGCCCTGGCACACTCAATTAATAATAATAGGCAATAGTTATCAAGCAGCTCTGAGCTATAGACCTCACAGAAATTCTATTAGAATTTAATAAGCGGACATAGGTAAGGTACTTGACACATGGCTTGGCACATATTAAGTACTCAGTAAGTATTAGCTAATGTTATTATTATTATTATTGCCACGTGCCCTGAGCTAAGAGCATACACATAACTATATCTAGAACTATAAACAAATATATACATACAACTAATAACAACCCTATGACTTAGCCCTGCCTGGTCAGTTTCGCTCAGCGGTTAGAGCGGCGGCCTGCAGTCCAGAGAGACCCGGGTTCAGTTCCCACTAAGGGCACGTACCTCGGTTGCAGTTTGTCCCCGGCCCTGATTGGGTCGATGTGTCCCTTTCACGTAGATGTTTTGCTCTCTCTCTCCCTCCTACTCTATCTGAACAAAATATGTAAAAACGCCCTCGGGTGAGGATTAAAAAAAAAGGAAAAATGTCCTTGGGTGAGGATAGAAAAACAAACAAATAAACAACCCTATAATTTAAGTACTATTATCCCCATTTCACAAATAAAGAAACTACAGTTTAAAGGGTTAAACTTGTCCAGAGTCATACACTAAGCAGCAACTGCAATTTTTATTATTATTATTACTATTATTTTAATCCTCACCCAAGGATATTTTTCCATTTATCTTCAAATAGAGATGGAGGGAGAAAGGAGAGAGAGAGAAAGATCGATATGAGAGACACATCGACTGGTTGCCTCCTGCACGACCCTGACCAGGGCTGGGGACCGAACCGCAACCAAGGTACATGCCCTTGACTGGAATCAAACCCGCAACTCTTTGGTCCACAGGCCGATGCTCTAACCACTAAGCCAAATCAGCCAGGGCATGCAAAATTTTGTTTTAATACATTTTTATTGATTTTTTTAGAGGAAGGGAGAAAGATAGAAACATTGATGTGAGAGAGATACATCAATCAGCTGCCTCATGCACACCCCCTACTGGGGATCGAGCCCTCAACCCAGGCATGTGTCCTGACCGGGAATCGAACCGGGACCTCCCAGCCCATCGGAGGACACTCAATCCACTGAGCCACACCGGCCGGGTGAAGTAGCTGTAATTTGAGCTTGGATAGTTTGAGGACAGATCCCATGTTCTCAGTCACCGTGCTCAGTAAAAGCTGAATGTAGTGGCACTAAACTCTGGCTACACTTCAGAATCATCTTGGGACCTTTGCAAAATGGGATGCCCTGGCCTCACTCCAAGATTCTGATTTGAGTGGAAGTGAAACCAGATCCTCTTTCTCCCCATCCCACTGCCCAGGTTGCCAGAGCCTCCTCATCTGCCCTCCCTTGGTGGCCAGCCCCATGAGCACGCCCCCTTCAGCACTCCATTTGCCCACTCTGCTGAAAGAGCTGGGGCTTCTCACCTGGGGCTTGATGTTCACTTTTTCCACAGCATTCTCATTCAGCCACTTGACATCAATCTCCACGTCAAAGTGTCCAATGTTGCATACGATGGCGTCATCCTTCATCTGCTCAAAGTGCCTACAGGAAGTCCAAACCCATGGGAGACCATCAGGAACAAAGAACAGCCCCAAGCCAGCCCCTTCTCTCATTCCCTAGAACCCCCTACTTTGCACCTACCTGCCGAGGATGATGTCAACACAGCCTGTGGTGGTGACAAAGATGTTGCCCTCCTGACAGGCCTCATCCATGGTGGTCACTTCATACCCTGTGCATAGACAGTGGCCATGGGTCATCCAGGGTGGCCTTGCCCTTCCTCTGGCCCCAGTGACTGACAGCCAACCCTCGCCCTATCGTACCCTCCATGGCGGCCTGCAGTGCGTTGATAGGGTCAATCTCGGTGATGATGACTCGGGCCCCAAAACCCCTCAGGGCCTGGGCAGAACCCTTGCCCACGTCGCCATATCCCGCTACCACCGCCACCTTGCCCGCAATCATCACGTCTGTGGCCCGCTTGATGCCATCTATGAGGGACTCCCGGCAGCCATAGAGGTTGTCAAATTTGCTCTGAAAGAAGAGGGGGCAAGGGGGCGATGGGGGCAGGCAAGTCCCTCGAGCCTCAAACACCCTCTTAGTATCTCAGGCTGGTGGGCCTTGGGCTGGTCATCCATGACTTGACACCAGCTAATACCTTCACATGCCTCTCACCCTGATGAGCAGCCCTAAGACCTTCTTGTTAGCCTCTCTGTGCTGGTCCAGAAAACCTTGAGAATCAATTTCTAGGAGAGATACCCAGTCAAAGAATCTGCTTCACTTTAAAGCTCTTGTTGCCCAGCTCTCACTGTATAGTTCTTCCCCTCTTTAAGAATACACTAGTTACTCTCAATCTACAATCTCCTTCCTCCCCTCAAATGAGGCCTTCAAGTCCCTACCTGCAGCCTTCCCAGGGGTCCTTCCTCAGAGGCCTACTCCCAAGCTACACAGCTAACCTGGAACTGTTACTGCACCACAAGCTCACCTTTGTGACGGAGTCATTGACATTGATGGCAGGAACCTTCAGAATCCCCTTGGCCATCATCTTGTATAGATTACAGACCCCTGTCGTGGTCTCCTCGGAGATGCCTCGGATGCCTGAACACAAGGGGAAGGGGTGAGTGTCAGGCCAGGAAGGGGATACCCAAAGGATTGGCTGCGATGGGGTGGGGGGCCTCTGGAATGAAGCCCCAAGAGCCTATACCTGAACTCATCCAAATTCCTCATCTTTGCCCCATAAAGCCACTCCTCTTTCTGGTTTCACATCTCTGTGGCTGATACCACAGTCCCCATCATCACCAGGGCACTCCTAAACTCTCCATTCCCACTTCTACTGCTCTAGTCCCTGCTACCATCATTACTCACCTGATCTCCCAGCCACACAGCAGGCATTTTGAACATGTATGTTTTCAGAGAAATCTTTTCAAAACCCTCTATTTATGTCCATTTATTCTCAGGATCAAGCCAAATTCTTTTATCTTAAGTACTCATACATCTGGCCTTCACTAAAGCTCCAGCCACATCCTATAATACTCCCTTCCAGTGAAGGAAGCTACCATGCTGCCTTCCTTTCTGTTTCCTGAAGTGTCAGTCCTTTTTTGCCTCAGGGCTTTTGTACCCATTGCCTCCCTCACCCACTTAACAAATATGACTCATTCCCAGGCCTGGCTTATACTTGCCCTTGGACCATCATCTCAGTCAGACCTCCCCAGCCACCCTGGCAGAAGTCAGGAGTGCAGGCCCCAGAATGCCTGCAGGAACCTGCTGTCCTCCCATCTTCCACAGAACCTGCTACTCTAAGTGCTGGGAATCCTACCAGCCTGCTGCTTTCACATGTGCAAGCAGGCTCCATCTAGGTTGCCAGCAAGCATCCAGCCCGCCCACCCATCCCACTCACCTGACAAGAGCTGTGGGTACTTGGTGTGGATGAGGTTAGTGAGGTCACCGCCATCATCCAGAATCATGTTGAGAGGCCCATCCTTGAAGTACAGCGTCTGCTCAATGCACCACATGTACTCCTCATCTGTTTCACCTTTCCAGGCATACACTGGAGGGCAAGTGGCACATCAGGGTCTGCCTTCCCCACTGGTACTTGTTCCAGGACTACCTGGGCAAAGCCAGTACTATCGCCTTCCTAATTCCCATGCCCAGCCACCTCCAGACCCTCTGAGGACTCAGCAGTAATAAGAACACAACTTGGAGCCAGAGAGATCTGAATTCAAATCCTAACTCTACATGCCAGCTGTGTGACTTTGACCAAATCACTTCACCTCTCCGAGCCTCAGTTTCCCAATTTGTAAATGGGGAAAATAGTATGGATTAAGTGAGCGAGAGGCCAGATACAGGTAACTAGAAAGAATTATTTACTTTCCTACCCCCTTCTGTCTGGGCCCCAAGGACTAGAGATTCAACCCATAGTGACTAGGCTCACTCCCAAAGTGCTGGGACGGGGTGCTGCAGGTTAGGTGGACCCACAAGGCAAAATCCTAGGATTGTTCTGCACTGAAAGAACTTAAAGGCCCACCAGTCTTTGTGGTGGGTGGTCTCAAGCAAAGTCTGGCCAAAAAATTACTAATAGCAGCTATTGTGTATAGAGCAGTTTCTCTGTGCCAGACATTACCACGAGTCCAGGCTCCTCCCATCATATGGTATGACTGGAATACATGTGTGGCTCCCATGACCCTCCTGTGGGAAAAGACCACCAGCCAAGCAGGGCAGGCTGCCCCTCCACCTATCTGGGGCAGACAGTAGTCTTGAAAACGCATTTTCCAGAAGAGAGCCATGAGGCCCAACCATGGCTGAGGAATGGAAGACATGCCTATCTAGCCCTGGTTAGTCTCTGGCAGGATCTTCCTGACCCTTTCCCCTCCAACTGAGGCTAGTTAGGACACATGAATGTACTACATAATCACTATCAGAGCTAACCACTTCCCTTCACAGGCCCAGGCAGACATATGCCAATTTCTCCAGCAGCTTATGAAACTTCTTTCTGCCCTGGCTGGTTTGGCTCAGGAGTAAAGCATAGGCCCGTGGACCAAAGAGTCTCAGGTTCTATTCTGGTCAAGGGCATGTACCTTGGTTGGGTTCAGTCCCGAGCCCTGCTTGGGGTCCTACAGGAGGCAACCGATCGATGTGTCCCTCTCATGTCGATGTTTCTCTCTCTCTCTCCCTCCCTCCCACTCTATCTGAAGATAAACAGAAAAATATCCTCGAGTGAGGAATAAAAAGTTCTTCCTCCTAGTTTTGGTCCTTCTCCAGCCCCCTAGACCGTCAGCCCCTAGGCAATGAACATCTGGGACTCTATTTCTGACTAGTACTCCTCCCAATTATTTTTGGAAACAGACTCACATCCTTTCTTTAAGGAACTCCCCCTCCTCTACACCAAATGGTTCCCAAGCACAAGATCCTACCCTCTTGATTACATTATTTAAGCTGGGACAATAAACAACTCCTTCCTATGGGTCATTAGGCTAGGATTGTGTGGCATGACTCCACTCCTCTACCCTACAGCAGGGAAGCCTGTCACTGTAGGAGATAGTGAAGCAAACATGGAGAATCAGAGTACCTTTGTGCATTCCCACATCCCCCAGCAACAAGCAGGAAGGACTCACCTGGAATGCCAGCCTTGGCAATGGCAGCTGCTGCATGGTCCTGCGTGGAGAAGATGTTGCAGCTAGACCACCGCACCTAGAAGAGCCAGCAAAACAGGGCTGTGGTCACAGAAACAGCAGGGTCACCGGTCAGGGATAAGAAAAAGCCCTAGAGCTAGAAGTGAGAGACTTATGATCTAGGCCCAGCCAACTCTGTGACCAGAGTGGGGGCTCTGGTGAGTGAATGGGAGCCAGAGCAGTGACAAGACCCAACTTATGCTTATTATTTTTTATTTATTTATTATTTTAATCCTCACCCAAGGACACATTTCCACTGATTTTTCAGAGAGAGAGTAGGAAGGAGGGAGGGGAAGGGGCGAGAGAGAGAGAGAGAGAAAAACATTGATGTGAGAGAGACACATTGATTGGTTGCCTCCCGTATGACCCCAATGAGGGCTGGGGATCGAACCACAACCGAAGTATGTGCCCTTGACCAGAATTGAACCCATGACCCTTTGGTCTGCGGGCTGACGCTCCAGCTGTTGAGACAAACCCACCAGGGCCCCAACTTTTGTTTTAAAAAATCACTCTGGTGCTGTGTGGAGAAGAAAGGGTTCCCCAAGGAGGCAAGGAGACAAATGAAGAAGCTGTCGTTAAGAGGTCAGACAAGAGATTTAACAGTAGCAGTGAGTAACTGGTATATTTTAAAGGCTAAGCTGACCAGATTCCCTGTAAGATTAGTTACTAGAGTGACAAATAAAGAGAAGTCAGGATGACTCCAGGTTCTTGAACTAAGAAAACCTGAAAGGCTGAATTTCTACTTGCTTATGTGGGAAAGATTGCAAAAAGGGGTTGGGGTAGGGAGTGTACAATAAATTTTGTTTGTTTGGTCTATTAGATCTCCAAGTGGAGATGACACACATCAGTTGCTGAATACACAGGTCTCGGGTTCCCAGGGAAAAGCCTAGGCCAGTACATTTATCTAGGAGTCATCACCATGTAGATAGTATTTAAAGCCATAAAATCAGAGTGTGAATGCTGAAAAGAAAGAAGAGGTCCAAGGACTGAGCTCTTGTGTAGTCTGTTAGCTGGTTTCGGTTGCTCTGCCCCATCCTCTTTAGGAGAAACTATCTAGTCCCTAGACTCCTAAAGACGTTAGAAGAGCTGTCAATCACGTGCACATAACCCAGGCTGAACCAATCAGAGCACACCATCCTCCTGGCAGCCATGATTGGCCCAGGGCATGCACATGACCCTAGAAGGGCCAATGAGAGCCAATCCTTCCATGACTCAGTGGGACACTGGGGTTGAATTTTTCCTACCAGAGTTCCTCAATGGAGAGGATGTGAATTGAGGCCGTTAGATGCTATCTTCCCAGTCAGAAAAAAAAATTTGCACAACAGTTATCACAAAAAGATATCGGCAGCGTGACAAGGTTGGCTCCCCAGCTGGGCCTGAGGGGCCACCACATTGGATTTCCCGCTTCTCACAGTATAGCTGCAGACCTCACCTCAGCACCCAGGGCAACGAGGGTCTCAATGAGGACAGCTGTCTCAATGGTCATGTGCAGGCAGCCAGCAATGCGGGCGCCCTTCAGTGGCTTGGAAGCCGAGTACATCTCTCGCATGCGCATCAGGCCCGGCATCTCGTTCTCCGCGATGTCCAAGACCTTGCGTCCCCAGGAAGCCAGGCTGATGTCAGCTGCAGGAACAAGATGGATACTAGTTCCATGAGCGGCTCATCCCACCAACCAGGAAGTACGCCACTGGTCACTCGTCCACTTGTGGACTCGAAACACTAGGCTAAGTAATCTGGTCACTAACTCTGTCACTCATTCAACAAGGATTATGGAGCTGAGGCAGTCAAAAAAAGAAAGACATGGCCCTGGCCAGTTTGGCTCAGCGGTTGAGCGTCGGCCTGCGGACCAGAGAGTCCCAGGTTCGGTTCCCACTAGGGGCACATACCACCCAAAAAAAAAAAAGAGAGAGAAAGACATGGTCCTTGCCTAACCTCTGCTTACTGTTTTGTGGGAGAGCACATTTAATCAAAGAATCACACAGGTACATGTAAACACAGGTACGTGCCTCCTGGAAAAATAGCAGTCTATATATATGTATATATACTTCCTACTACCCTTTCTGCTACCACCTACCAACCCCCTCATTCCCTAAAGATTTTAGCTCCTGGCTGGCTGTCCACCTTCCAAGTCATCACTGTTGCTGACTTCAACACTCATAAATGATATTATTTAACACCTTGGATTCAGCACAGTTCACTGATCCTCTTAAAGATATGAAAATGCTTCTTCCCCACTCCTGATGTTTTCACATGGAGAGATTCATCTGTGTAAGTGACACTCTTAAGCTCTTTTCTGCCCCAGGAGAGGTGGAGTGACTTATGTGATTAGTAAACTTGGGAAGAATAAATTGGGCACGCTCAGCTCAGCTCTCCCTTCTTTTGCAAGCAAGCAGCAACCACCTTTCCTGCAGGAAGCATGTTCTTCTACATAGAAACCTACCCAGGCCCACCTTGCCTGTAATGGATGTGTAATTGAATTTTGGGATTCAGATAGCAGGATCATTGGATTTCAACACTAATCTACATCCTCTGGCTTCAATGTTATTAGTAATGACAGTTATATTTTGGCTTCTATCTGCTACCCCAAATGTCTCAAATTTGTCCAAATTCTCTGGTAGGAAAAAAGGATACTATTATGAGTTTTCTCACTATCTCAATACTCTAATAACCTCAACCTCCCTACCCCCACCCACCTCACTAGCCCATTCTAAAAGTCAGTCCCTTCCCTCTTAAGAGTCATCTGTCATGCTTATAAATCTCTCCTGGAAAATCAGATTCAATAGGTCTAGGATGGGGCCTGAGGCTGCTGCTGATTATTATCTTTAGGGAAGCTTAAATCCTGTCAATTACCTAATGGGGTGGTATCTGGGTATAGAATTTAATAATAACAAATAATAAAACTAAGTCAGTCTGCTTCCTGCTGTACAATCCAGAGATGAAATATTCTATCCCCATGGGAAGGACTACTTCTACTGGGCCTCAACACATATCCCGCCCCGCCCCCGCCCCCGCCCCCCCCCCCATCACCATCCCTACCCAACCCTGCCCACCTTGGCAGCCCATCACCAATGATACTCTCCCTTGGAAATACTGATTTCAAGCAATTAACTCTGACCATATCCCATTCTTTCCAGTCCTCTCCCTCTACAGCCCCAACTCCAGTAAGGCTGCAGCCAGTCAGGTCAGAACTTCTAATTCATTAATCCTACCAATTTTCATTGCCCCTCACAGCATCACCTTCATGTTCTCAATTTCTTCCTTCCACAGTTTAGGATTTTGCTATCCCTTCTACCCTTCTGTCCTCTGATAATTCATGGCCAAACTCCCACTTAGTTAAACCCAACCCTCCACTCCAACTAAGCCACTGAGTCCAACAGAAGAAATATTACAACCATACCAAAAGATCTCATTTATTAAGACACAAATTTCAAGGACAGGCCAGCACTCCTATTACATTTTCTTAGTAAATTTACTCTCCTTTTCCACTCTCTCTAAACCTCTAACACCTTTCCTCATCAACTGATGACCTCACTTCACAGCTCACTGAGAAGAATTCAGAACTATGCCACTTCTCCTCCATGGACTCTACTAGTCCTCCTCATTTGTAGCTACAGACCAGGCATTCTTTTGTTACAACAGAAGAGCTGCCTCTGCTCTGTGGGACCTGATCCCATCCTTGAGAACTTGACTATTCCATGGATACTGCTTTTTTTTTTTTTTTTCTTTCTTTTAGAGAGGGAGGAAGGGAAAAGGAGAGAGAGAGAAACATCAATGAGAGACATCGATTAGCCGCCTCCTGCATGACCCCCACTGGGAATTTGGCCCACAATCTGGGCGTGTGCCCTGACTGGGAATCGAACCCACGGCCTATTGGTGCATGGGTCATGCTCAACCAATGAGCCACACCAGCTGGGCAACACTGCTCTGGGCAACACTGCCTCCCCAAACCAGCCTGACCCCCATGTCTAATAGTTAACTATCTAAGTTCACATTTCTCCCTGTAGCACTGATCCCACTAAATACTTCCTCCTTCTGAAACCCTTTCTCTGATTTCTATCTGTCCTTCTGTGGTTTTTCTCCTAGCTTTCTGGCTCCTCTTCCTATAAGTGACTTATGTTTGGAAGCCCCCAGAGCTCCATCACCTTCCTTTTCCTTTAAATACCTTCTCTACAGCAATGACTCCCATGTATTTATCTTCAGCCCAACTTCTCCCCTGAACATGAAACTCATAATCCAATTGCCTACTCAGCATCTCCACTCAGATACACAATTGGATCTAGAGGGACAGGTGGTGATAGAGTGGGTCAAGTTTGAACCCTAATGACTCCTTACCTTCTCTCCAAACTTCTTACTCCCCCAATTTTCCCACTTCAGGAAACGAAACACCATTCAACCAGCCACTTCAGACAAAAACTTTCTTGATTCCTCTTTTCCCCTTTTACCCCCTTCCAATCTATCAGCATATTGATGGCTCAAAGTCCTAAATATTTAAGCAACCTGACCACATCTTACTAACCTTGGATCACTGAAGCAGCCACCTCACTGGTCTACTATTTTCTCACAGAAGCCAGAGGAAGAGGCTTTATAAAATTTAAGTTATTAATCAACTCCACTTTTCTGCTAAAAAACAAATCTCCAATGGCTTCCCCTTACCCATGAATAACATTTTAACTCCTCACATGGCCTACCCACATGACTGCCCACCCTTGTTCTTCCACCTCTCCACCTTCTTCTCCCCCTCCCTAGCTTCTCAACTACAAGGATCTAACTGTTGGTCTTTACTGTCTTCCGACAAGCTAAACTCATTCCCACTGTAGGGTTTTAATCCAAGCAGTTCTCTTAGCCTGGATGGCTCTCCACCAAGCATCTGATACAGACCTAGCAAACAGTAGGTGCTCAACAAAAACCTGGAAACAAGAAAGAACTTGGTATATTCCTAGTGGAGGAATGGAATGCAAACCAGGGTGACTCTAGTAGAGGGAGTAACATAAGTGGGGATTTTATTCCCAGTAAGGTGGGAAGCCTACAGAGTTTTAAGGGGAAGTACCATGACCAGTTGTCTTTTGAAAAGACCCCTTTGGTTGCTGCATGTATACGTGGAGCAAGAGGCCCAACCTGTGAGGAGGGTGACCAGAACTGGGGTGGTAGCTATAAAGATAGAGAAGTGGGTGGAACTCCTCACTTATAAAATGGAGACAACAGCCCAGCTGGTGTGGCTCAGTGGTTGAGCGTTGGACTCATGTACCAAGAGGTCGCCGGTTTGATTCCTGGTCAGGGCACATGCCTAGGTTGTGGGCCAAATCCCCAGTGGGGGACATGCAGGATGCGGCCAATCGATTTTTTCTCTCTTGTTGATGTTTCTATCTCTCCCTCTCCCTTCCTCTCTCTGTAAAAATCAATAGAGCACTGGCTGGTATTCTCAGTGGTTAGAGCATTGGCGTACAGACCAGAGAGTTCCGGGTTCAGTTCCCGCTAGGGGAATGTATCTTTGTTGCAGTTTGTCCCCAGCCCTGGTTGGGGGTCATGTGGGTGGCAACCACTCGATGTGTCTCTTTCACATCAATGTTTCTCTCTCTCTCTTCCCCCCTCTCTCCCTCCCCTTCTATCTGAAGATAAATGCAAAAATGTCCTTGGGTGAGGATTAAAAAAAAAAAATCAATAAATAAAAAATAATAAAATGGAGAAAACAATACATTAAATATATGCATGTCTGTCCCAACCTTGAGTCACCTTTGTATATCCAGTGCCCAGCAGGACCTGGCACAGAGAAAGGGGTCAGCAAATGTTTACTGACCATATCTGTTGTTAGGACCGAATGAGAAAAGGTCCATGAAAGGGGCTGGCACAAGACAGGTGTGGCAAAAAAGAAACAAATCTAAAACCAGTACAACTCCCAGCACTTACCAATGAGAAAAGGGCCCAGAAAGGGGTTTGCCCCAGGTTCCAAAGCCAATCAGTGGCAGAGGTGGGACTGGTAGCCTGGAAGAGCTAGAGCCAGAAGCCTTCTCAAGGCTACTGAGAGAGGCCCAGCAATAGTGGACAATGGGTTCTGTCCTATCCTGCTAAGCTCCACCTACTCTATCACCACCTGTCCCTCTAGCTAAAAATAACTCCACTGCCCTCATGGCAGCTGTGCCAGCCCCAGAGTTTTCCATGGATCCTTCAACTCCAAGGACATGGAGGGTCCCTGGGGCTTTTGGTCCTACAGGAGCTGAGAACTTGAAGAAGTTGCAGTAACACTGGTGCCAGGGCAAGCCAAGAGCAATAGCAAGATCTGCTGTGAGCCTCACTTCTTTATCTGTAAAACGGGCATAATCATCCCCTGCTGAGCCCTAAGGATTAAAGATGTTATATGGCCAAGGTCTGGCACAGAATGCCCTCCTCAATGGAGGCTTCCTCCCTCCAAACCTACCCAACCAAGCTCCCCCACTTCCAAATGCAGCCTTATCTCCTCCCACATAAACCAGTGCCCTCAACCCTGACCCAATGATCTCTCCTTAGTATGACAAGCCTCTATTCCAACTCTGCCACTAATGTGACCTTGATTTAACTTTTCTGGGCTTCAGTTTCATCACCCACAAAATGGTAACAACAATCTATTCTGGCCATTACTTCATAGCTACTACTGATAAGCTACTACAATTGACCTTTGAACAACACGGGGGTTAGGGGCAATGACTGCCCCCCTCCCAGTCAAAAATCTATGCAAGGAGCTCTTGTAGTTGCACAAAGACTTGCTAATTCAGGATGACTGACATGCTCAGTGACACACATGTTCCAAATAAAGATTTTACATAAACATAAAAGTAATAATAATAATTAATTTTTAAAAATCTGCCCTGGCTGTTTTGGTTCAGCGGTTAGAGCGTCGGCCTGCAGTCCTGAGAGACCCGGGTTCAGTTCCCGCTAAGGGCACATACCTCGATTACAGTTTGTCCCCGGCCCTGGTCGGTTGTGCGGGTGGCAGCCACTCGATGTGTTCCTTTCACATCGATGTTTCTCTCTCTCTGTTCCTCTCTCTCCCTCCCACTCTACCTGAACAAAAAATGGAAAAATGTCCTCGGGTGAGGATAAAAAAAAAAAAAAAATCTGTGTATAACTTTAAAAAAATTTTTTCCCTTTATTGGTTTGAGAGAGAGAGGAAGGCAGAAGGAGAGAGAGATAGAAACATCAATGAGAGAGAACAGATTAGCTGCCTCCTGCATGTCCCCCACTGGGGATCAGGCCCACAACCTGGGCATGTGTCCTGACTGGGAATTGGACCAGCAACCTCTTGGTGCATGGGTCATCACTCAACCACTGAGCCACACCGACCGGACTGTGTACAACTTTTGATGCCCCTGAAACTTCAGTCATCCCTTGGTATTCATAAGGGATTGGCTGCAGGACCCACCCCTGAGAATACCAAAATCCATGGATGCTCAAGTCCCTCATGTAAAATGGCATAGAACTGCCCTAGCCAGGTAGCTCAGTTGGTTAGAATGTCCTCTCGATACACCAAGGTTACAGGTTTGAACCCTGGTCAGGACACATACAAGAAGCAACCAATGAATGCATAAATAAATTGAACAACAAATCAATATTCCTTTTTCTCTATCCCTAAAAATCAATTTTTAAAAATCTTTAATAAATAAATAAAATGGCATAGAACAATGCATACAGTTGGCCTTCTGCATGGGTAGATTAAACCAACCACTGATGGAAAATACCACCGATGTGAAACCCAGAGACAGGAAGAACCAACAGTATATTTATTGAAAAGAGCTGCATGTAAGTGGACTGTGTTGTTAAAAGGTCAACTGTATTTCACAGAATCTCTGCAAGTCACTTCCTATTAAAGCCTCAGCTTCTTTCTCTGTATAGTATAAAGAGAGCCCACCTCTGAAAATTATTCTGTAAACACATGCAAATCACCAGACACACAAGCAAGTGCTCCATCAATGTTGATGCATTTCTCCAGGTTTAACGGTGTCTTGAATTTACTTTAAAAATTGCTAGCCATCCTGAACTGGTTTTTGCCAAAAGTTCATTAGTGTTGTTCCAAGTCTTCTCTAATATACAGTGGTGAGAAGGTGTGCTCAGAGGTCTATGGGGCCTGGGTTCATATCCTACTTCACCTCGTCCCCGCTGTAAGACTGTAGGCAAGTTACCTTTATTTCCTGTCTCAGTATACCCATCGTAAAATGGGAAAGTAACAGTCCCTACCTTATAAAGCCGTGAGAATAAAATGAATTAATCTAGATTAAAGGTATAAAGTGGTGTCCATCCCCTAGAAAACTATCAGTACATCAGCTTCAATCCATAGGACAGCAGGTAGAATTTTTCTAACCACTCTAAATTTTCTGCACAACTGTTCCTGTTGGCCAGGCGGGTGACCCCAGAGATTGAGTAACGAGGCCAAAGTCCCTGTGAATGTGCTAGTGCCGGCCTTGGGCTCGCTGTCCAGGCCTCGCCTCACATGCCTATTGGGGCTCCAGTGCCCTCGCCGCCCCTATAGGAGGCTCAGAGAGGGAGGGGCACTTGTCCGGGACCACCCAGCTGGTCCCGGAAACAGGATTCTGATCTCCTACTGTGTATCCTGGCAGATGCCAGCAGTCCCAGGCCGCTGGCCAGGTACATACTCCCCAACTGCCCCAACGGACTCTGTGCGAAGCATGCCGCCACTTGGCGGCTCCGCAGTCCGCGCCGCAACACTGGGCCTCGCGCGGTATGCCGGGACTAGTAGTCCGCGGCCGCCTCCCACGACCCGCTGCACGCGGCTCGAGGACTCCAACCCCCAAGCGGCCTCACGTGGCCAGGATCGCGCCGAGCCAGCGATTCAATGGGGTCCTGAACACCCCGCGTCGGCCCCGCGGCCGCCGCAGGGACAGGCCCCCAGCGGGCAAGGAGCCGAAGAGGCCTGCTGCACGTCCTGGAACTCACCGACTTTGTAGGGCAGTTTGTCAGACATGCTGACGGCGACTCCGCACGGAGTGATGGACACAGGCGAAGGGGGCCGGGCCTCGGATTAGGAACCGGAACAGGGCGGGCAGCACGGGGAAAGGATGTGCTCCTGGCGCCGGCGCCTTTAAATATCTTCCTCTTACTTGCATATTCATAAGTCCCGCGAGGGCTGAGCTGTCCGGGCGGGGCCCTGCGCGCAAGGGCGGGGCCAGAGCGAATTTAGGTCCCTTCAGAGCAGGGCGTTTTAATCCGCTGTGAGGCAGAAGGGCGCCTCCGGGAGAGGACTGAGAGCAAACGAGAGGCTGTTTTTTCTTTCGTTAAGCCAGTAAATCAATGTCAAAACCGAGTGGAACTGAAATTCCAACCACTTCACTCCCCTGGGCCTCAGTTTCCTCATCTGTAAAAAATGAGGAATGATATCTACCACGCAGATTATAAGTAAAGTTGTAATATGTCAGATACCTAGAATGCCAGACCTTCCACCCTCCTCCAACCTAACCACTATCCTGAGTTTAGGTAAGTTTGTATGCATTTTTATACTTATACTACATATAAATCATTAAACACTTCGTAGAATTCTTTGTGTTTAAAACCTTTTATATAAATGGTACCATACTGTACTGAATCCAATAGCTGTGCCTCAGCCTGCATCCTGTCCCACCAATGTGCCCTTGTCTTTCACTTTCCTAACTCTCCTTCCACTGTTCACAGTGTTCCTCATCAGACCTTAGCAACCCCCTCCCTCACTAGCGCCTTCAAGTGTTGATGTACCTTTGTCCTCTTATTCTGTTCCATCTTCCTGGGCCATCTCACCCACACTTATGGCAGTGTGACCACATATACCCAGATGATTCAGGTGGTCACGGAATAAAACACTATCTCACCCCAGGAGCCACCTGTTTTCCTTCTCAATCACATACCCTTTCTCCCCAATCTTGGAGTTATCGTTACAGCGAATTCTTTGCTTTGCTTAATAAATTTTACTACCTATGTGACCAACACTAAACAACACGTTGTTTAGTTTGACTGTTTTTTGCCTTTTTGTAAATGAAATCATGTGTGTATGTATTCTTCAACTTGCTTTTCCCTTTCAACATTGCTTTTGAGAGTCATTTGTGTAGATGTTGAAAGCTATGATTCATTTATTTTCATTTCTGTATATATAACCCATTTATTCATTCTATTATTGATGGACTTTCAGTTGTTTCAGTTTTTGCTACTACAAAGAATACTGCTTTGACATCCTGGTGCATATATATATCTAGGAGTTGAGTTGCTTGAACAGATATGCTATGTCCAACCTAACTAGATAATATGAAACTGTTTCTCAGAGTGATTGCATCATTCATATTCCCACCAACAGTGATGAAAATTCTTGTTTTATGCCTTTACCAATACTTGTTATTATCAACTTTTAATTTTTTTTCAATCTGACGACTATGAAATAATATCTCATTGTGGTTTTAATTTGCATTTCTTTGACTACTAATGAGGTTGAACACCTATTCATATATTTAAAAATAGGTGGTTTGAGCCCTGGCCAGTTTGGCTCATTGGTTAGTGCGTCAACCTGCAGACCAAAGGGCAATGGGTTTGAGTCCCAGTCAAGGGCATGTACTTGGGTTGCAGGTTCAATCCCCACCCTGTCAGGTTGTTTGGGAGGCAACCAATCAATGTCTCTCTCTCCCTCCCTCCCTCCCTTCCACTCTCTAAAAATCAATGGAAAATTATCCTCGGATGAGGATTAATAACAACAACAACAAAAAATAAGTGGTTTGAGCCCTAGCTGGGTAGTTTAATCGGTTAGAGTGTTGGCTGAATACACCTAGGCTGCTGGTTCGTACAGGTCAGGGCACATACAAGAAGCAACCAATGAATGCATAAATAAGTGGAACAACAAATTAGTATTTCTCTCCCCCCCTTCCTCCCTCCTCCCTTCCTTCCTTTCTCTTCCTTTGTCTCTGAAATAATTTTTTAAATTAAAAGTAGGTGGTTTGCTTTTTCTTTTCAGGTAGTCGGAATTCTTTACATATTCTGGAGTCCTTTGTTGATTATATGTCCTGCAAATAATTTCTCCAGGTTTGTGGTTTGTCTTTTCACCCTTTCTATGTGTTGTTCTTCTTCTTTTTTTTTTAATTTATGTTTTTGTTTTATTTATTGATTTTAGAGAGAGAGGAAGGGAGTGTGAGAAAGAGAAAATCATTGATTTGTTCCACTTATTTATGTATTCATTGGTTGCTTCTTGTATGTGCCCAGACTGGGGATCAAACCTACAACCTTGGCATATCAGGTTGATGCTCTAACCTAATGAGCTACCCAGCCAGAGCTAAATCAACTTTTTATCTTGAGATAATTTTAGATTCACATGCAGATGTAAGGAATAATACAGAGCAATCCCATGGTCCCTTTACCAAGTTTCTCTCAAGGTGACATCTTGCAAAACTATGTATGATATCACAACCAAGATACTAACAATGATGCAGTCAAGATACCATTCTCATCACCACAAGATTCTCTCACAGGTTGCCTGTCTTAGCCACACCCACTCCTCTCCTGCTACTGAACCCTCAACCACTGATCTATGGTCCATTTTTATAATTTTATTATTTCAAGAATATTATATGGATGCAATCATGTACTATGTAACCAATTGAGATTAGCTTTTTCCACTTATAATTATCTGGAGATTCATCCAAATTGCTGCATTTATCAATAGTTATTCCTTTTTATTACTGAGTAGTATTCCTTGTTATGGATGCATTTCTTCATTTAACCAGTCATCCATTGAAAGCATATGAATTGTTTATATTTTTTGACTATTACAAATAAAACTGCTGTGAATATTCATGTATAAGTTTCTATGTGAACATAAGTATTTTTCAGGGATAAAAGCTCAGAAGTATAATTGCTAGGTCAGATGGTAGTTACATGTTTAATATTATAAAAATAAACTGCCAAATATTTTCCAGAGGGGATGTATCATTTTACCTGACCACCAGCAATTTATGAGTCATTCAGTTTCTCCTAGTCCTTGCCAGCATTTGATATTGTCACTGTGTTTTATTTTAGCCATTCTGATAGGTGTATAGTAATATCTTGTGGTATTAATTTACATGTCTCTGATGGCTAATGATGTTGAACACTTTTATATGTATATTTGCCATTTGTATATCCTCTTTGGTGAAATAACAATTTCATGTCTTTTGCTCATTTTCTAATTGGATTTTTTTTTTTTTTTTTTTACTATTGAGTTTTGAGAGTTCTTTATAAATTCTAGATACTAATCCTGTGCCGTATATATGGTTTGCAAATACTTGCTCCTATTCTGTAGCTTCTTTTTTTATCCTCTTAACAGGGTCTTTCACAAAGCAAAAGTTTTAATATTGACACAGTCCTGTGTATCAGTTTTTCCTTTTATGATTTATGCTTTGATGTTAAGTATAAAAACTCTTTGCCAAGCCCTAGATCCCAAAGATAATTCCTATGATGTTTTCTAAAAATTTTATAGTTTTTCATTTAAGTCCATGATGAGTTAATTTTGATACAAGGTATACAGTTTAGTTTGGGTTCTTTTTTATTTTTTGCACCTTTGTAAAAGATCAACTGGACATATTTATTTTCATCTATTTCTGAGTTCCCTATTCTATTCCACTGATCTCTGTGTCTGTCCCTCTGCCAATACTATCGCCCTCATTACTGCAGCTATATAATAAGTGTTGCCATCTGATAAATTGATTGGTTCCTCCCATTTTACTCTTTTTTTTCAATATTGTTTTAGCTGTTCTAGTTTTGTTTGTTTTTTTGTCTTTTCTTATAAATTTTAGAATAATCTTGTTTATGTCTACAAAAAAATCTTAAAGGGTTTTTTATAAGAATTGTATTAAACTATATATCAATTTGAGAACAAATGGCATCTTTACTATGTTGAGTCTTCCAATCCACTTCCATGGTGTGTTTCTCCATCTATTTATATTGCCTTTGATTTCCTTCATCAGTATCTTGTAGTTTTCAGCATAAAAGTCCTGTGCATGTTGTAGTAGATTCACACTTAAGAATTTCTTCTATCGCCCTGGTCAGTTTGGCTCACCGGTTGGAGCATCGGCCTGCGGTACAGAGAGACCCGGGTTCGGTTCCTGCTAAGGGCACGTACCTTGGTTGCAGTTTGTCCCCGGCCCTGGTTGGTCGTGCGGGTGGCAGCCACTCGATGTGTCCCTTCACATCGATATTTCTCTCTCTCTCTCTTCCTCTCTCTCCCTCCTGCTCTATCTGAACAAAAAATGGAAAAATGTCCTCGGGTGAGAATAAAAAAAGAATTTCTTCTATCTCCATCTCTTCCCTATCCCCTTTCTCCTCCCCCTCTCATTACTCCTTCTTCTGAATGGTAGTGTATTCTTAATTTTGGCATCCATGTATTCCTCACTGATATATAGAAATACAATTGATTTTTGTGTGTTTCTTTTCTGTCCAGCTGATACAAGATTATCTTTGCTGAATTCATATATTATAGAAATTTTGGGTTTGTTTGTTTGTTTGTAGATTCTTTGGGATTTGCTGTGTAGTCAATCATATCACCTACAAATAAGGATGGTTTTATTTATTTATTTTTTTTGAGAGAGAGAAAGGAAGAGGAAGAGAGTGATAGAGAAACATCAATCACTGCCTCCCGCACACACCCCAAATGGGGATCAAACCTGCAATCTGGGCATATGCCCTAAGCAGAATGGAACCTGTGACCTATTGGTACTCAGGACGACACCCAACCAACTGAGCCATACAAGCCAGGGCCAAATAGGGATGGTTTTATTTTTTTCTTTCTGATCTGTATGCCTTTTATTTCCTTTTCTTTCTTTCTTTTTTTTTTTAAATCCTCACCTGAGGATAGTTTTTCATTTATTTTCAGATAGAGTAAGAAGGAGGGGTAGAGAAAGAGAGAGAAAGAAAAACACCGATGTGAGAGAGACGCATCAATTGGTTGCCTCCCGCATGACCCCGACCAGGGCCGGGGAAGAACCTCAACCAAGGTACATACCCTTGACCAGAATCAAACCCGAGACTCTTTGATCCTTGGGCTGAGGCTCTAACTGCTGAGCCAAACTGGCCA